ACATCAAAATGTAAGGAGAGAGACTAAAAAGATGCACTAGGCTTCCATTAATGACAGCCAACCTTCTCATTAATAACTGAAAAAGCTGGACAAAACACAAAGTAGATACGTCTTCTTACAAGTATCGTAGAGACATTATTTGTCTCCGCTGCTGTGTAGACTGATGGTGCCAAAGCAATGGTGGGGAGACCTGCTTGCTCGCTGCCTTAGTACAAGAACAGCACTGGCACCAAAGACCAAAGTCATGACATTCTTCGGTTCCATATACTCACATGAAAAAAACTTCACTTAAGAATGTATTTGCTGTGAATGTATCTGCTGCACTTGCATATTAGTAGTTATAAAATACAATTTTTTAAATTCACCTGTGAGCACACGTCTCTTTAATATTCACCGGGATGAAATTAGGAGCATAAAACACTTCTGTGTTCTCTAGCACAGCGGTTATCTTGAGAAAAAGCCTGCGTGCAAGGGCTTGTGTTGCAAGGTGAACTGGTCACTTTTTTTAGGAACTGTCATTTTTGCTTGGAAGAACAGTGGGTAGAAAAACTACAGTTATTCAGACTTTGGTATCTGGCAGACATTTTTTTGAACCAAGCACGCCTGTCACTTCAAGGGAAACGAATGATAGCATTTGTTGCCAAAATAATGTGACTGCAGCAGACTGAACGCAGAAGCAGCCACGAGAAACCAGCTGTCTTCTCTTAGACCAGACACTACACAGGTTTGTGAAGAATGTGAAATACCACTCTCCTCACTACGTTTTTAAAGTTACTTTAAAAAAAATGTTTATGTTTATTATTTTTAAATGGATTAATAAATACTTTTAAACTTCTCGGTGTTAATTTCTAATATGGCAAGTATGGATACAACCAACATAAACCAAAGCTCTTTCGGGTCCTCTATAATTTTCAACAACGTAAAGGGATCGCGAGAACAAAAATGTTCGAGGAGTGCTGCTTACAGCAACAAAAGGGAGTGAACTAGGACTGGATGCAACAGTGTAGATGACACCAACAATCTGTCGTGTCAAAGAAGCAGAAACAGAAAAACTCCTGTAATATGATCCCATTCATACGAGGCACAAAAATGGGTAAAACTAAACCACGTTGTTGAGGGTGCATTAAGTAGGTGGTAAACCCACACGGCAAAGCAGTGATTTACATAAAAGTCATGATTGTGGTTATCTTACAGAGGAAGGGGAGGGATTGTGACTGGAAAGACCTATGAAGGGGTGTCTGGGGGCACGGCAATGTTTTATTTACTGATCTGTGGGTTATATTTTTATTATTATTACTTATTTTATATTTACATTTTATTTGCCGTAAGTTTCTGAACTAAAAAATATATTGTATTTTTTTAATTATTTTTTTAAGTTTGTTTTTATTTATTTTGAGGGAGAGTTGGAGCAAGTGGGGGAGGGCCAGAGAGAGAGGGAGACAGAATCACACGCCGGTTCCTTGCTGTCAGCACAGAGCCCGCTGCGGGGCTTGAACCCACAAACCATGACATCATGACCTGAGCCGAAATCAGGAGCCAGATGCTTAAATGACTGAGGCATCCCTGAACTAAAAAATATATTTTAAAACTAAGGGAAAGCTTCATCATTACTACAGGAAAAAACAGAAAACGAAACAAAATATGGGGTGCCAGGGTGGCTCAGTCAGTTAAGCGTCTGACTTTGACTCAGGTCATGATCTCACAGTTTGTGAATTCGAACCCTACGTTGGGCTCTGTGCTGACAGCTGAGTCTGGAGCCTGCTTCAGATTCGGATTTTGTGTCTCCCTCTCTCTCTCTCTCTCT